GAAGATTAGATAATAAATTTTTTGTAAAGTTTCCAAAAATACCACAATTTTTGCCTTGCTGTCATGAAGATAAATCTTAATCTTTTTAGCTTTTGAACGGTTCTATAATGGACTTTCTCCATTTTGGTCTTCCAGGCCTCCAGTTAAAGGCGACTATTTGCGTATTGAATTTTTAGAACCAGTTTCAGTTGAAGGTCAGAAAATGAAGGAATTTTTTTCATCTTATTTTGAAATTTTCGGCTGATAAAAAAAAATAGTTTTTAAACGCTGATTTTCTTATTCTTGGGTTAAAGCTAAGTTGCTTAATCGCCGTTTTGTAAAAATTCCTTAATGCTTCTTTATTATATTGAAGAATATTAAGTACTTCAATTTAAAAGAAGTGTGTTTTAATTTGATTGAAATAATGCCGACCTGAGAAGAGTTGTTATGAGAATTTTAAGTTTAGGCGTCTTATTACGTTCTGGGAATGCTGAACATCCGGATGATGTTTTCGACAATACGACGATTATTAGTTGGCAAAGTGGGGAAGATGATGGCGTGAAACGGTCATTTAATTTTGGTGATAGTGGTATCGCACGAACCACTTTTGATACTTCACGTAAATTGAAGTCAATTACTGTGGGGGTTACAAGTGCTCATAATCACTGGGTAATTTTAAGTGAATTGTCAATTCGAGTGTTATTACAATGATACTTGAATAGCTGTTTGAATAGTCTGGTAAGTCTTTGAAATATGCAGTGGATGGAAGGTGAGAGGACAGTTTTTCTAGTCAAAATTTGTTATAAAGAAAAATTTGTTTTCCTGTCTTATATGAAACATTGTTGGTCTACAATGTGAACTGTGCTTTTATTATAACTTCAAAATGGTTACTGAATAGTTTGTAGATTTATCCTGTGATCTCTTTTTCATCAGTGTATTATAAAAACCTTTCTTGTGTGTACGTTCTGTCGTCTTTGTATACTTTTTTCTTTTTTCTTTTGTTTTACCAACCTTTGTTGGTATTAATTCGGGAATTGATGTGACCAACTTTTTGTTGTTGTTATTGTTGTTTTGCTGCTCTCCCTTTAAAGTAGTTTAGTTCTTACTATTTCTTTCAATTCATATACAGGTTCTATTTGTTTATTTTCTTTTTTGGAAATTTATGTACGTTTTTCCAGACAACTCTAAACTTCTTCCATTTACTTTTTCTGAGTTTTTTGTTCTTGTTCGTGTGATCTTTTTTAAGTTCACGATGGGTGTAGTATGGTTCGAAAACTTTATACCGGCAAGTCATATTACTTGAGCAAAAATGTAATCAAAGGTTAACTGGAAACTGCTGGGCATTAAAACTGACATCCTTCTTTTTGGTAGACAAGTATATTTTCTGATGACTTGTTATACTAAACTTTTGGTGGGTTTTTTTTTTTT